GAAATACATACTAATAAATAATAATTCATACTAATAAGTAATAATACATAATAATACATAGTAATAAAAAGAAATACATACTAATTCATAATAATATATACTAATTAGTAATTATAGATAGTAATAAATAGAAATACATACTAATAAATAATAATTCATACTAATAAGTAATAATACATAATAATACATATATTAATACATAGTAACACAATGGAAATACATAGAAATACATAAAATGTCGACTTCTCCCATAAAACTGTTACAAAAAAGAAAGCGTTAAAATATCATCGTGGCAACACTATAGCATCGATGTCAGGCAGATGGTCGTAAAGATGCGCAATCTCCTTGGGAACGTTTTGCCAGCAATTTAATAACATTAGACAGTGAAACACCACGGGGCTGTACAATAACGGTCGGCGTAAAAACGATAAAAACCGCGCAGGCTGTGCGCGAGCGCGCGCGTCGTTAAATTATAAAAGCAAGAAAAAAAAAGAAAAAGATTCCGCAGAGGCGATCCCAGCTGTTGAACGGAATCTGTGACCGAATTTAGGATCGATTAGATATCGGCCCGTCGTAAAACGGTCCCTCGACGCGGCCGAGACGAGTTCATTCGACGAGCGCGCGCGCGCGCGAGAAGAAGACTCGAAGATGAAGAAGACACGAGGGACCCGCCGGAGATGATTAATTAATCTCGGGCACACCGCGAGAGCCATTTGCATAATTCAGGGTTCATTGTGCCCGGTCGTGATCAACGGGCCAGAGGGAGCCGGGCACAGAGAGATGTCGGCAGGTAGTTTCGAGAGAGAGAGAGAGAGAGAGGGAGAGAGAGAGAGAGAGAGAGAAAATAAAACAGGTGCATCGTTCGTTCGGTTCCCGGCAGCTAGACACGCTTTATCTCCACTGATTTATCGGCGCCGAACAAATTGTACGCTATACTTCACCTGTTGCCCTCCGCGGCTGGATTCCGGCCCGCGGCGGCAACGGGCCGCCGAGACATTTTTTTCAACGGGTGCGAACGGGCCCCGTTTTTTCTTGCCTTCTAAACAAGCGCCGCTGATTTTTCAATCCGCCCAGGCGAATACAATCCGCGCGGCGGACGACGTTTCGGCGCGGAGTTTACGATCGAATTACAGTAATTTCTCTCGGATATGTTCGATGATCGGAATTGAAATCGGCAGATCTGAGAATACCGAGTCGCGATTCTTCAAGCCTCGCGGCTCGTTTTTATAGAAACTTGTATATTAACACTTTGAGACAGCCGAAATTATTTGAAATTTAATTTTCATGCCGATCCACAAAAATTTCTTAATTTTATTAAGANGTGTTTATATATATATATATATATATATATATATATATATATATATATATATATATATATATATAATATAATAAATATATAAATATATAAATATAATATATATATAAATAATAGTTAAATTATATAATTATTAATATAAAATTTATTATATAGATATTATAAAGATAGATAGATAAATATATAATAAATATATATAAAATTTATTATATATATATTATATTTTTAATATAAAATTTATTTTATATTAATAATTATATAATTTAAATATAAATTATATATTAAAATAAATATAATTATGTATTATATAATATATATAAATTAAATATTTATTAACATAATATAATATAATATAATTATTATATATATATACAATAATTAATATAAATACATAGTAATGCTAGAATAAAAACGATGACTCAACTTTTTCATTTCTAATTCTTTGCCACGATACGAAGACCTTATCGTCGACGTAGCACAAAATACAAGTAA